CCTGGATTGGTGAGGAATCTGCTCACAACGCCAACTACATGAGCTATATCTGGCCGAGTACACACTATTGCATACATCAAACTTCTTACTGCATAGGAATAGGGGATTGCCTTAATTTCTTTCATTTCAGAGCTGGTCGTGGGACACGAACGCTTTGTCACCTTGAAATGGTTGGCCAGTGGTGTGCTGACTGGCTTGGCATCTTTCATGTTGAACCTTTCAATCACCCGTTCAACATATTTCTCCTGTGACAGCCATATCTTCTTGGCTTTCCTGTCACGAACAATCTTCATGCCCAAAATCTGTTGTGCTGGGCCTAAATTCTTTATGTCAAAATACTACAACAAGTCATTTTTTAACTTGTTGATCATAGCAATATCATGTCTAATGATCAGCATATCATTGACATACAACAGTAGGATGATGAAGTTTTCATCCGAAAACCTTCAGAAATATACACACTGGTCAGCTATTGTTCTTGTGTACTCATGATCCACCATGAATGAATCAAACTTCTTGTACCATTGTCTCGGCGCCTGCTTTAGGCTATAGAGACTCTTATTCAGTTTGAAGACTAGGTTCTGTTTCCCTTTAACTTCAAATCCTTCTGATTGCTCCATGTAAATCTCTTCTTTCAAATCACCAAGAAAAAAGGCAGTTTTGACATCCATCTGTTCTACCTCCAAATTCAAGCGAGCTGCTAATCCCAGAGCTACTTGAATGGAAATCATCTTCACAACTGGGGAGAAGATCTCATCAAAATCAATATCTTTCTTCTGTCTAAAACCTTTGACCGCCAAGTGAGCTCTATGCTGTAGTATTTTACCGTTGCCATCTTTTTTCAATTTGTACGTCCATTTGTTTTTCAATGCCTTTCTGCCCTTTAGAAATGAAACAAGCTCATAAGTGTGGTTCTTCTGCAATGAACTCATCTCCTCCTTCATGGCTTGTATCGAGTAATCTTTCTCTGTATGACTCTTTGTTTCTGAAAACTCTCGAGCTCTCCCTCATCAGTAATCAGAATATATTGAGAAGCGGGATATCTGGTTGATGGCATGGAAACTCTTCCAGATCTCCACAACTGAGGCCCAGTTGCCTCTGGTTGAGGGGGTTGCCCCCCCTGCTCAATACTCTCTTCATCTGGGTCTTCATCTCTTTTTTTCTGATCTTCAATTTCTAGCGTAAGATCCTGCAACTCTGGCACTTCTTGTTGCACATCATCACATCTAGCATTTTGTGATGGCTCAGGAAATGAGAATAAGTCTGTAGTGATGACATCTCTAGACTTTGCAGACTTCTCAAAATCTGCTATTGTTTGGTCTTTTTGGAACACAACATCTCTGCTCATGAACATCTTCCTGTTCACTGGATCCGACAACTTGTACCCAAATGTTGCATTTAAATAGCCCACAATATGCATGGAGTGGACTTGTCATTAAGCTTTTGTCTGTTTTCCTTGGAGATGTGTGCGAACGCTTTACACTGAAGACTCTCAAGTGAGAATATGATATATTTCTTCTGGACCAGACTTTCTCAGGCATCACAAAATTCAATGGGACTAAAGGCGACCTGTTGATGAGATAACAGGCTGTACGGGCGGCTTCAGCCTAGAATGACTTTGGCAACTTTACCATTTTGAGTATACATTTGACTCTTTCAACAATAGTGCAGTTCATTATTTTTACCATACCATTGTGTTCTGGGGTACTAGGAACTATTGTCTTGTGCCGGATACCTCTGCTAGCACAATATGCTTCAAAAGCATTGGAAATGTACTCGTCACCATTGTCTGTGCGAAGACACTTCAACTTTTTCCTGGTCTCTTTTTCTACCATTGCATAGAACTCCTGAAAGTGCTGGAATACCTCATCCTTCATCTTCAGGAAATATACCTACAATTTCCTTGATACATCATCAATGAATGTCAAAAAATACTTGCGGCCGCCAAGTGACTCCACTTTGATTGAACCACAAACATCCGAGCGTACCATACTGAGCACTTTTGTTTTCTTCTTGCTGGTTGAACTAAATGATACTCGATGCTACTTGCCATAAAGGCAATGATCACACGACTTCAAGGCACTCCCTTTAGATAAGGGTATCTTGGATTGCTTTGCTAACAGATGTAATCCCTTCTCACTTATGTGAGCCAGCCTTTTGTGCCATAAGTCTGGCGACTCCTTATCTTCTGCTGTATTAAGACTTCCCAAACAGATCTTCGTTTGAGTCTTGTATAGTGTTGAAGACATCTCTCCTCTGGCGATTGTCAAAGCTCCTCTTGTCAGCTTCCAACGGCTATTTTCGAATGTACTTGTATAGCCTTGTCAGTCCAGGGCGCTTCCGGAGATAAGATTGATGAGCAAATCTGAAACATGCCTCACATATTTGAGAACCAGCTTGTGTCTAACATTAGTTTGAATACTAATGTCTCCAATACCCATAATCTTCGAATAGTTAGAATTCTCTATTCGAACAGTGCTAAAATCTCCAGCGTTGTACGAGCTGAAGAGTTCTCTGTAGGAAGTGGCGTGATAGGATGCAGCTGTGTCTATCACCCACTCTGTACAGCTGTGGTTAGCCACGTGAAGGCAATCCTCCTCTTCACCAACTGTAAGAAGTATTTCATCAGTTGTTGTGGCTATCGTGTTCTCATCTTCCTTTGACTTACTACTTTGGTCTTTATCTTTCTGGCTTGGGCAGTTCCTCTTTATGTGACCCTCTTAGCCACAGTGAAACCAAGTGAAGCTAGAGTCACCTTAATTTTTACTGTCTCTGGATTTACTCTTGTTGTTTTATCTGCCTCTACTCTTACTTCTTCCTCTGCCTCTCTCCACTACTTCTGTCTCTGCTTCTATCTTCTGTGACAAGAACATGAGACCGATTACCTCCCACGTCTTTTCTCTTTGTCTCTTCATTGTGCATGGCGTCTATGACCATGCCTATTGTCAGCTTCCCCTCTGGTACAGAGTTACTGAGAGAAACCACCAACGTCTCCCAACTGTCTGGTGAAAAACTGAGCAGTAATACGGCTTGCATTTCATCGTCCAAGGGTATCTTGACGGTTGCAAGTTGATTCACCAGATTCTTGAATTCATTGGTGTGCTTAGCGACAGACACACCATTCTTCAACTTTAGATTTACAAGCCTTCTCATCGCCAAGGCTTTGTTCTGGACGGTTTTTAACTGGTACATTTCTTCTAACATTGTCTAGAGGACATATGCATCTGTCTCCTAGGCAATGTGGTGGAACACATTGTGGTCTATCCATTGTCTGATATAACCGACAGTCTTCCAGTTTATCTTTATCCAGTCTTCATTCTTCACTTCTTCCGGTTTAACCCCTTTTAGAGCAATAGGGTAACAAGCCTTTATAATATAGGATGTCTTCCATCCGCGGCTTCCAGATTGCATAATTAGAAGGATTTAACTTGTTCATGGATCTTAAAGTTGAAGTGGATTCCTCCATCGTCTTCTTACTTTTCACAGAAATTTGATTCAAAAATCTGACTGTACGATCTCTCCGGAATACTCCAAATAGTTGGAAACAACTATTGGATCACCAAAATCGAACTTCAAATGGCTTAGATCTAGCCAAAATAAGTTCGATGGTTCAGATTTACGGATGTACCTTAGCCGCGTAGCACCGGATAATCCCTCTGCTTTTGGGTCGGATCGGGTCAACCCGACAAGTTGACTGGTTACGTGACTGACATGTGGAGTTGACGTGGTTGACACGTGTCGGTGATGTGGTGTTGACGTGACTGCCAGATAGCGTGTGACGTGGCAATGACGTCATGAACATACACACACCACTCTTCTTCTTTCTTTCGCACGCGCATCGGGCGTGTGCTTGAGACTGGTGTAATGCGTCGATACCGTCAACGGCATATGCCACGTGTGTCTGAGACTGAGACTCACGCGCCTTCTTTAGGTGGCGCGTGAGAGTGCATAGAAGCTTGTCTGGGGCTCAGCTTTGCAGTTTTGGACTTATCTCGTTGAGAGCTTCCTTTCAGTATGCTCAAAAGTGAATTTCAAGTAACTTGATTTCTAGCAATTTCGAAAAAACACACCCTGTTTTTTCTGAAAATCGACCAACGAGGCTCTGATACCACGTGTTAGGATTAAGGCACACCAAAAATCAATCACACACAGAAAAGACATAAGATATTTACGTAGTTCGACAATTGCTTACGTCCACAGGAGAGATATCCAATATAGAATTTTCCCGAAGGGAGTTTACAATACTCACAGCTCACACTCTCTCTATAGCACTCTCATTCAAACACACACTCTGTGTTCTTTCTATTTCTGATGATCTAACTCAGCTCACCTCTTCCCATTTTATACACAAACGAGAACCATCAACCATAAACATAGATGGCAAGCTTAATACACAACCACCCTAAGTTGAAAAAAAAAACTTCTGTAACCTTCATTCTTGACTTCAAAAAAACCACATTCACATGGTATGGAATGCTCATCACTCCAAGAGCATTTTTATACCATATTTTCAACCAAAATAACAAGCTAAAGCATAAAAAAAGACCTCTAAAAGCCTCATCAGATGCTTCAACAATTTGATACAAGCAATAGTTGCTAACTACCTGAAGCGAGGAACTCTTGTTGTGCTATATATTTTTTTATTATTTTTTTCCTATGTGTCATTGATGATCAAACTAATTACAAATTTATATATATATATATATATATATACATATATATATGAGTAAAGTTGAAAAAATATAACATTTTAAAGAGAATAGTTAAAGTAAAGAGTATTGTTGAAATGTGTATTGAAAACATAGTTATCTAAATTAATTAAGTGAAATTTTAGATTGTTAATTTGATGAGCATTGCTGGAGATGCTCTTAGAAACGCACACAAACATATACACACACAAAAAAATTAAAATAAAATTGGATGAACCGGTTTAGCCAGTCAATCGGTGTCCATCTCAGCACACCAAATTTTACAAGTCAAGCCCCTGATATTGCTGCATTCTAGCCAATTAACAAAACTTAGCGACAGAACTCTGAGACACTGTTAAATCGATGGCATAATAAGGCACTCGCTTTCTCTCTCTAGGGTTTGCTTTCTCTCTCTATTTATGGATGTAACGCTTTGTCTCTCTAGTTGTCGTTGAATCATTCGAGAGATTGCGAACGTCTGTGTTCGTAGATCAACCCCATCGATCTGGTTTTTCACCGAATTGTTTTGGATCGGAGGTTAGGTTTTGTCGTTTTCGATCATGTTTTTGTTCGATTGGTTCTATGGAATTCTTGCATCACTCGGTCTCTGGCAGAAGGAAGCTAAGATCTTGTTCTTAGGTCTTGATAATGCCGGCAAGACCACTTTGCTTCATATGTTGAAAGACGAGGTCTGTCTCTGTGTATCAATTTTGCTATATAGATATATATGTTTCTAATTCTTGCTCTGTTCTGTTTGCTTTATATTGATTTCATTTTCGTTCTGGGTAACATAAAAACGTGGTTAATTTTAGAAAAATGACAATCAAAATTTGCAATTTACAGGAAAATAAACGGAGCAGTGATGAGAACTAGGAAAATAGCTAATTTAAGATTGGTTTTAGTGCAGGATTTAGTTTGTTGGGGTTCTGAATCAATGGAATATAGAAGATTTCATTTTTAAATTTCCTCTATAGCCCCAGTGTTTTTCCATTTCCAAACAAAGGTGGAAGCCTATTGCATTTTGAGCTAATATGTTTGTTGTTGATGTGGGATCTTGGCAGAGATTGGTTCAGCATCAGCCAACCCAATACCCAACATCGGAGGAACTTAGTATCGGGCAAATCAAGTTTAAAGCTTTTGATTTGGGTGGCCATCAGATTGCCCGAAGAGTTTGGAAAGATTACTATGCAAAGGTAAATATGAATTGTCATTTAATGTGTAATTCTCTTTGTATTTCATTAGTACACTGGCAAAATATTAACAGTCTGATATTGGCGGTACGTAACTTCGAATTGGGATAGATTGAAAATTCTTTCATTGGTTCAAATTATATGTTAATTTTGTCTTACCATTTTTTAATCGTGGTTACACTTTGTTTTGCTTTGTTGCTTGTTTTGGGTATGCTATTGACAAGGTTGGCAGTAATGTTTGTTGGCCATGTTACAAGCTTTGTCCCTCACATGTTTAGCTTGGCATTAATTCTTTGCGGAGCATTGTGTGTAAGATTAATAAATATAGAATTTATATGAATGAATGCTGTAATTGATTGTAAAAGGTGAAATAGTTGTTCTCTGTTCATGGGCCGTCTAAACTGACTACTATGGCATCAGAACATCAGTTTATCCTTCTTTCCCTGTTGTACATTTAGCCGGCATCTTTTCAAGCATTATGAAAATTGTGTGGATTGTGTTTTATAGAGCCAGTTTTTGGGTCATATGGTCACTTAATCCCAACAAAATAGAGAGAAATAAAAACCTCTGCGTGGGCAACTGTATATGGAAGTATTTGTATTTTGAGCTTTGTACATCTCACTTTTATCTTGAAAGTCACACACTATTTATCATATTCGGACTTGGACACCCTTTGTCATTTTTCTCCACCTTGACATGCCAAAATTGTAAGTAGAATCTTTTCTTGGAATACATGTATTTTTTGAAACAATTCTAATTGTTGTCTCATTTTTGTTGCTTCTAGTTTGGGGAAGTCATGTTTTCAATGTACCCAGAAGGACTACCTGTTTCTTCATTTACTGGGTTGAATTAACAGAAATTCTCAACCAAGGATTGCCTAGTATTTGGGTCTAAGTTTCTTCTTGAACTAGAAGTAAGACCAAAATGACAGCTAGCTGCATAATTTTAAAATGAATTTGTGAATGGAGAATATTCTGTATTCCCTCTCCACGCTTTTATGATGTTTCTGCGCCTTCATAATCCCAGATAAACGTTTTTGTGTTTACCTGATTCATGGAAGGCGTACATTAACATTGGGAGCTCGCTGATGACACCTTTTTTGTTTCCAGGGGGTGTTTTAATAGTATCTTGCCAAACACATGTCCTTTCATGCAAATCTAGGTAATTTGATGTTGCATGTAGATCCCTTGCTGTGAAATAGGGAGTTATCCTTGCCGGTACTTGCTTCATCCCCAAATGACCTCTCATCTGTGTGTTTTGGAGACAGAAGAGAGAAAAAAGTCACTCAAACCATTAAAAAGAGGTGGAAATTGTAGCCTTCTTTTATGTTGTCTTAATTGTCAAGTTTATGAACTATTTCATTGAAGGCATATGAACTTTCAATGAAGAGAACAACTACAAAAGATAAGGCTTGGAGATGATAAGTTGAATTCAGGTCAGATCTGAGCCTAATTATGTCTCAAATTAATTGATCCAGGTGGCTGTTCAAAAATAAAAAATAAAAAACTGATCTAGGTGCAGGTAAAGTTGCTAATGTTTTATGATTTTTTATATTTAAGTATCAGTGAGCTTCTTAAATGTCAAACACTTCAAGTGCTGTGAGTTAATCAATTGGGATAATCTACAATTGGGATAATCTAATTACACCGTAATTCCCTCCTAAACATCAAGGGGAATCATATGATGTTCCAATGCTTTTAAGTTCCTAAAGCTTGGACTTGTTCGAGTGGGGGAAGGAAAAAGAAAAAAAAGTTTTCTTAAATTTTGCGTATAACCCTGGATCAATTGAGTCCATACTTTATACAGAGACATCAGAGAAGACTCTGAATACAAATAAATTTGGTTGACAATGGAAAAGTCTGTTAATCTATCTGTACAATCGTTGGTATAGAATCGCAGATGACAGCACTTTGAGTTCTTAGCATAGTTGTCAAATCTGGATTCGTATCGTGAATTGAAATGGTCTCGTACCGAATCGCGAATCGTAAAGATTTGGTCACTTTTTCTAAATCACTTAAAAACATATATCTACACATTTAGATGTTAAATGTATCTTATGAATATAAAATATGTAGACTTAAATCAACAAAAATGTTATTTTGAATGATAATCACGTAATTTAATAGGTAAGAAGTTAACAAAGGTTCCTATGTAAAATCACCATCTTATCTTTTCTTTTTCTTTTTCTTTTTTAGATTTTTTTATCAACCATTCTTAATAAAGGTAATAACCAAATAGAAACTATTAATTTCTAAAGTAACAATAGTTAACAACGATATTGATATTTGGACAATAAGTATATATACTTTTCTAAGTAAGAGTGAGCAAATAATAAGAAAGAATTATTTAGATATTTTATTTTAAAGCCTAAAACATTTTAACAGGTATAACTGACCTCACACATGTAGTATTCAATTTAATAAAATAGTAATAGATAATTCATAGTGTAACTCTAATTTTAAACATTTTTAGAAGATATATTACAATTTTTTGAATGGGACAAAAATGAGAAGAAAGGTTAAAAATATGTTAGGTCTGACTTGATCTGATTGGATCCTATAAAAAACTCCATGATCACTAAAATAATAACAAATCATATATATATGTTGGTTATTTTGGTATTAAATACTATTAGAAGTTGTATTATGTCATTTTCACTAAAAAGATGAAAAAAATGAGTCGAAAATATGTCGAACACAATAATTTTAAAAATTGCATGAATCGTAAAAAGTGAATCGAATCGTGAATCGATTGTGAATCGTGCGATTCACTAGAGATTCACTTCCAAAATAAATTCACTCATAGATTCGTATCGATTTTGCAAAAATTGCGTATCGAATCGCGAATCGAATCGCGAATCTTAAGATTCTGATAACAGAGGTTCGTAGTAGAAGGTACAGATACAGAGTTTCATTTCTCTTCTGTTTCCCACAGTGTTTGGATAGGTTTCCCTTCTCTCAGCCATAACTTGGTCGTCATTTTCTAGTGTTATCTTGTCAATAGTGGCAAATATTGCAGATATGAACCATTGAAACATCATACAGATCAATAGCAGGTAAGCATGGAGATTAAGTTCTGTACTCTACCGGTTTTGAAATTCCACATGGGACATAAATTCCCTCTTATATTTTGGTTTGGGTCTCTTAATTACTATAGCTTGTGACCTTGAGATTGTTGAAGGACTTGATTGTGCTTAATGATTATTAATTGAAGAATGGTAAAGGACTTGATCAGAGATTCAATTCTGCATCCACATGGTCCGAAGTTTCTGGCATGTTTCAAACTATTAACTGCCCTCTATCAACAAAGAGCGGGTAGAGGGAGGGGAAGAACTTGTTCCGAGGTGTTTGATATGTTGAAAGTTTTGGTTGCTTTTGTTTGCGTTTCCTAGCCTCCTAGGAAGTTTATACTATAGTTATTTTTTCGTCATGCGTTCTTCTTGTGGAAATGTTTTTAGTTTTCAGTGGTTTCCTTTCATTGTGTTGGTGCATGAATTTGTGTCAATTTGTTCTGATCTAAGTTTCGTTTGCAACATGTGATTTGGCATTTCTGTTATGGTCTTATTATATGATTAAATATGCCAGCTTCCCCCAACCCCCTCCCTGGGCAGGCAGAAATGCAACTAAATTGTGAATTCACTTGGTTATATGTAATTGATGTGCTATTTTTGGGTGTGAAGGTTGATGCTGTTGTGTACTTGGTGGATGCTTATGACAAAGAGAGATTTGCCGAGTCGAAAAAGGAACTAGATGCTCTCTTGTCTGATGAGTCATTGGCAACTGTTCCCTTCTTAATTTTGGGTAACAAGATTGATATCCCTTATGCTGCTTCCGAAGACGAGTTGCGTTACAGCATGGGTCTGACTGGTATCACCACAGGGAAGGGGAAGGTAAACTTGGCAGACTCAGCTGTCCGTCCAATTGAGGTGTTCATGTGCAGCATTGTCCGCAAAATGGGCTACGGGGATGGCTTCAAGTGGGTTTCTCAGTACATCAAGTAGGTAGTAGGGAGGCAATGGGATATAAGATTTGGTTATTGTTTTACGAGTTATTTCCGTACTGGACTTGAGTTGGACCTGTTGTGTGTTTGAAATCACTATTGGTATATTTCCCTTGTTCCAGTTTTTTGGTGAAATGACAAACATGCTGCCCCCCTCCCTTCTACTATTTTTTTTAATGATGTGGTGCCAATGCCAAATGATTGATGACTTTGTGACCAAAAATTGGAGAGGAACTTCATTTCAGGGAAGTTGATAACCCATTGTTTTCTGCTGTAGACTTCATCCCTGTGCGACATATTTTCAGTTTTTTATTAGCATTTCCCATTAAGTAATGGGTGCATGAGTTTCTAGTTTGAAGATTACTTATAAAATGAACCTCTTATATGAACACTGAAGATTATGCTCTGTATGATCATAATTGTTGCTGCTGCTGCTGCTGCTGTTGTTGATGTTGGTTTTTAGGTTATAACTGGATCGCCTTTTGGTGCAAGTGTGTTGCTATTGGGGTTGTTTGGCAAAGGTTATTTTTTGACTTTTTGTGTTAAAATTCACAAAAAGACAAAATATGTTAAAATAGTTAAAAAGGCAAAATATCCCATTAAATCTATAATTATTTTAATTTTTTTTCTCATAAAAATCACATCAAATTACAAAAAAAAATTAATTATCTTTCCAAACATAAAATTATTAGCTTACTAAAATAATAAAAAATTAAAATAATATACTAAAACAGTTACTTTTCAAACACCCACATTAAGTTCTTTTGTTTCCAATGATGCCTTTTTTTGGTTAATCTTGTAATGGGACTCTGCATTTTTGCGCCAAGAGGTGGGTAAATTACATTTTACACCAAATTTCATTTTAGCATCTATACATAAAATTATGACAATCAATTCCTTATACTTCTGATCAAATTCCACTTAAGTCCTTGTACATGAAATTGGGACAGTTAACCTTCTATACTTTTGGTCAAATTTCACTTTAATCTCCGTACAAGTGTTAATGTTCTATTTCTGTTACTCAATTGTTTAAATTTTTAATAGGATCTAGACATGTGATAAGAATGTGACTATGATATGAGGGTAAGAAAGGAAAATCATTTATATTTTTCATTAATACACACTTTATCTCAAAATTTACATCAAAATATGATTGTATTAGGTTAAAACAAAACGCGAATTATGAACAATTAAGATGATGAACTAGGGTTTTACATTAATTGGAATCACAAAACTTTGTTTTTCACAGTAATATAATCTTTATTTATTCATCCTTCTTTTTCTTTGATTTCTTTGTTGTATTTTTTTTTTAATTTCAAAAATTCTACCTTCTTGCATTTTCGTCCCAATTTTTACCCCCCCACACATACATATATTGTATTATATAACTCTCATGTGTTTATCACGTAAGCTAGTGTATTGGTAGAAAATATGGATGATTTTTCTCTCTTATACTAATTCCATAGTCACATTTTTGTCACATGACTAGATTCTTTTAAATGTCTAAAAATAAAGTAACCGAATAAGGATATTGACACTTGTGTAGGAATAAAAGTGAGATTTGAGTAAAAGTATAGGGAGTTACTGTCATGATTTTATGTATTTAGATCAAAATGAGATTTGACCAAAAGTGTAAGAGTTGACTATCATAATTTTATATGTATGGATCAAAATAAGATTTAGTACAAAATGCAGCCAAGAGGGCCATGTGTGTTAAGTCGTCTTGCGCTTGGGGTCTGCACAATTAACCATCCTTTAATATTGAATTCACATCATAAGAAGATCCGTAGTGACTAAATCAAATATGGATGATACAATTTTTTTTTGCAATAAAATTTTTATATTGCCCTCATCGGTTGTACATATACATGAGTTTCACGCAATTCTGAAGCCATTTCCCTTCTTTCCCTTTTCTCTATCTTCACCATCAGGCAGTGTTTCCCTCTTGCGTGCCACCTTACATATCATGGCTGACAGAGGAGATCATACGACATAAGCCACCTCCATCTCTCCATCTCCTTTTACCGAACTTCTCCTTAACCATTGTAGATGACTTCGCTCTTCCTCTCCGTTAGTGTGATTAGCCACCTCCCAGCTTTGTCATGTCACTGTTCCATCACAAAGTTGTTCCTGATTGGGTGTGGCTGGAGGGGTGATTCAGTTGTGTTGATGTGTTATGGCAAATTGATGTGGTGTTAATAGTGGGTATTGGACAGTTCGGTAATTGTTGTGGTGGGTATTGGATGGTTGGGTGACTGCGGTGGTGATATTGGGTGGTTTGACGGTTGCTATAGTGAGATAATTAAGATGGTTGTTGTGGTAGTAGTGTGGTGGGTACAGGTGGAGTGTACGTGTGTTTATGGATTGTTGAGGCGGTAGAAAGAGAGGTTGGGGTGAGAATTTGACACGTAACCTGTTAACACGACTCGAACCGTATACGTAATTATAGAGTTAGGGTTTTAATTATTTTTTTGATTTGAATCTGATTATGACGTGACTCGAAAATACAAATATTAAATGGGTTATGTTTAGATTGAACATGCAAAATTTATGTCGACATGTTGACACGAACCCATTATTAAATCGCATGTAACCCCGAATATAACCTGAATATAGTAACTATAAGATCTTGAGTAATTCATTCTCATCCGTTAGATTAAAATTTAAATCTCTATCTAATATATATATATATATATATATCTAATGAAATGCAACCCTAATTAAATTAATGATAAATCAATGTGAAATTTTTTTGCAACAATATTATTTTGGATGTGGCATAGCTGCAAGATTATATTATTATTATTATTATTACTATATTAGTTTGGTATTAGATGAAAACTTATTTTACTTTTAAAATTTTATTAGATATTTAAATATTAATGGGGGACAATAGTTTAAATTGGATGTGTAATGAACTAGTGATGAATTTTTTAAATTATTTTCATAGATATTGACATATATATTATCATTGTGTGTTAAAGTTTAACAAGTTATTCTTATACATGTAATGTGAAATATTTTTTTATTTTTATTTTTATTTTTAATTTTTATAAATAATTGGTACAATTTGTTTATAATATGAAATATGAACTTTTGAAAATCGTATTAAGCGTGTTGTGTTAGGGTTAATACAATTATAAGTAGGTCAGGTCAGTGTCAACATAATTGACACGTTTAATTAAATAGGTCATACATTGTTGGCAAGAATGTGGGGGTGGATACTCAGGAGGTGTTGCGGATTGTGATGGGGGTTGGCACTACGGTGGAAAATATCATAGCATGCAATACATTGTTGGCAGATCTAAACGAGGGATATTCAACTATGTTAAAGACTGAGTTTGGACACGATTAAATGATTGGAAGGAAAAATACTTATTGGCGGTTGGTAGGGAGGTCTTGATTAAATCGATCGCACAATCTATTCCAACGTACATTATGTCCTGTTTCCAGTTGCCTGATATGCTTTGTGAGGAGATTGATTCTATGGTGAGTAACTATTGGTGGGGACAGCGGGAGAACAAACGGAAAATACATTAGAAAAATTGGAGATTGTGTGAACAGAAATGGATGGGTGGGATGGGGTTTCGGTGCTTCAAGGCTTTCAACAAAGCCATGTTGGCAAACAACGATGGAGGTTGATTTCATTGTTAGATAATGTCTCAATGGGACCACATAATTAAATGTGGTGTTATCATTTATAAGAAGTCTACAATTTAAGTGATTCAATTTAGTTAATAGGCTTAAGGGTATATGTGTTATGGACCTAATGTGTAGATACTAGTTGTATAATTTCTATTTCTATGAGGGGCAGAAATAGAAATTAAAACATATTGGTTAAAGTTGGTTTTCATTACCTTTCAGTTTTAAAACCAATAATGGTTAATTTATTGGTTTTCATTACCTTTCAATTATGAAAACCAATTACAACCTTTAAAAGGTTATGGTCCCTATTCCTTCCAAAGGTGGAAAATAAAAACACTGTTTGTTTTTCTAAATCCTCTCAAGGAGTTCAGTTTTGAAAACCAATTACAACCTTTAAAAGGTTATGGTCCCTATTCCTTCCCAAGTGGAAAAAATAAGAACACTGCCATTTTTTTTTCTAAATCCTCTCAAGGAGAAACATAAGGCACCAAAGGGGAAATGATTAAAAAGCAATAACATAATCAATAACAAAGAGTTCATTGATAATCACGCTTCCGTTTAACTGTTCATCAATGGATTTATGTATGTCATTTTGTCTTGATTTCTTGATAATATACATGGTAAATGATCCAAAGTGTAAGGTTTATGTTTTGAAATTTATGTTGACAATTGGTATCAGAGCATGCATATCATGTGTCTTATCAGAATTGATATGCTTTATTCATTCTATTTAGTTTCCTGGAATCAGATTCTGAATTTTCTCCTGGATGTAAATTCTGTTTTTTCCTGTTTTGTTCTGTGAAAATGGCAATCTGTTTTCTGGAATTGTAAAATGATTCGGTGGGCAATTTTTTTTTTTCCTCTCAAATGGATGAACATCATGTATTTATATATATATAGATATATCTTGCGATTTGATCGGTTTAATTTTGAACATCATAAAAAAAAAAAAACTATTTGTTTTTGGACCCATCAATTCTATTTATATATGTATATATATAATTGGAATTGCTGCAGATTATATAACATATACGGGGTCACAAATTTAGAAATCTTTAAATTTAATGTAATTTCATACAACGTCTACAGAAATTTAATTTTCTAACACTTTCAATATAAGTCAATTCAAACAAGATGTCACAAAAGTGATCTCTCTTGTCTAGATTGTTTTATATGGAATGTTTTGAAGTTCATGTCTATGTATCTCATGTGGGTATTTATCGGTCCAAAGACATGATTAAGACTTGGCAGAATTACACACACATTTTGTGGTGATAAACATGTGCGAATTGTCAAGAAAACCTAATGTGAATAATAAATCCATCAAAAGATAAATTTGTTATTTGACATAACTTATTGTCAATGTTTGATCATTACAACAAGAATACCACTTACAGTTAATATCACTACCCAAAGGCTTGGTATTAATGTTGTGATAGGTATCTTGAGATGTTGTCATTAAATTAATTTATTTAGAGATTATTTGTTTGGATGAATGAAGAATATAAGTCTATGCAAGATAATAAAGTTTGGGAACTTGTTTCATTACCAGTTGGTGCGAAGCCCGTAGGTTGTAAATGGATATTTAAAACCAAAAGGGATTCAAATGGTAATGTGGAGAGGTATAAGGCACGTCATGTTATGAGGCGTCAAACCAAGGGATATGGCTGCGGAATTTTGTCACTGGGTTGCGTATTTTGGAAGGCACTGCAAGACCACTTAAGTTATATTGTGACAATAAGTCTGCAGGTTTATATTCCAATAACAACAGGAGCTCGACAAAATCAAAGCATATTGATATCAAGTTCCTAGTTGTAAAAGAAAGAGTGCAGAGTGGACAGATTTCCATAGAGCACATTGGGACAAACTCCATGATAGCGGATCCACTTACGAAGGGACTACCACTCAAGGTCATTCATGAGCACACTGCTCAGATAGGTTGTTCTATTTGAGAACATTCTGGTTTAGTGGGAGTTTGTATTTATATTACTGCTTTATGTCAGACTTGAGTTTTATCTATGTAATTAGATTAATTTCTGCAGAAATGAAATATTCAGTTTAATACGCTCTGTTACATATTGTGAAGTATTGATCTCAATAAAGTTAAGTAGGACCAGTTGGAAATAAGCATGTATGGATCACATCACATGTAATTTCCATGCTACGCATCCATGATTGATCTATGTCATTTAGCTATATTTGTATACGTGACCATTGGTGGGTCGAGTTACGATTAATGTAACGAAGACCGCTTTGATCCTATATTAATATAGTTAATGGACAAGATTGTTTGGATAAATACGAACAGATCAAATAAACAATCAACAGATAGAATGCAGTTCAAACAGATGTATTCATTCAATTCAGTTTCAATTTCGGTCAGTCAGTTCAGTACTTTAGTCAGTTCAATTATCAGTCATTATCAGTTCCATTTCGCAGTAATCAATGATTAACGGTAATCATTCAGTCATTAATCAGTAAACAGTATGGGGGTTGTTACACAATGGGACCACATAATTAAATGTGGTGTTATCATTTATAAGAAGCCTACAATTTAAGTGATTCAATTTAGTTAATAGGCTTAAGGGTATATGTGTTATGGACCTAATGTGTAGATACTAGTTGTATAATTTCTATTTCTACGAGAGGCAGAAATAGAAATTAAAACATATTGGTTAAAGTTGGTTTTCATTCATTTTGAACTTCCACAACCTTTCATTTTTGAAAACCAATAAATAGAAATTAAAACCAATAATGGTTAAAGTTGGTTTTCATTCCTTTTGAACTTCCACAACCTTTCAGTTTTGAAAACCAATTACAACCTTTAAAAGGTTATGGTCCCTATTCCTTCCCAAGTGGAAAAAATAAGAACACTGCCATTTTTTTCCTAAATCCTCTCAAGGAGAAACATAAGGCACCAAAGAGGAAAGGATTAGAAGGCAATAACATAATCAATAACAAAGAGTTCATTGATAATCACGCTTCCGTTTAACTGTTCATCAATGGATTCAGGTATGTCATTTTGTCTTGATTTCTTGATAATACACATGGTAAATGATCCAAAGTGTAAGGTTTATGTTCTGAAATTTATGTTGACATTCATTGCACGATTCCTTGTTGGCCAGAATTTTGAAGGCAAAATATTATCCTCAAGCAAATTTTCTTCAAGCTGGTGTTGGGTCGAATCCATCCTTCACATGGCGGAGTATTTTTAATGCGAGGCCACTTTTGGAAGTTGGTTTGCAGTGGAGAGTGGGAGATGGGCGATCGATACAGATTTGGGGCGAAAAATAGGTGCCGCGGCCTAGCTTTTTTCGTGTTTGTTCTCCTCCAACAGCACATTTAGAGGAAGCGTTTGTCAGTGACCTTATTGATCATGAAAAGCACTATTGGGACTTAACTTTATTGCATGAGAAGTTTTTGGAGATGGACGTGGACGCAATTCAGCAAATCCCTCTTTGCTGTCAAGATATGCCAGACATTTTGGTATGGCACTATACGAGTAGTGGATTATTTTCAGTTCGTTCGGCTGGTCATTTGCAAATGAATCTTAGCATGCGGGAGACGCGGGGGTCTGGGTCGGAAATACAAAATGTTACTTGGTTTTGGAAAAGAGTATGGCGCCTCCGCATCCCAAGTAAGATTAAGGTTTTTGCGTGGAGGTGTTGCTCCAATATTCTGCCGGTTAGATCAGTTATTCGGCGTCGACATTTAATGATGGAGGATATGTGTGCTTGCTGTGGGGCTGAGGCAGAAACGTTAATGCACTGTTTTTGGGGTTGTTTGAGTGCGATGGAGGTGTGGCAACAAAGCCCGATATCGTTTGTGCTTGATAAGGAAGCTGGTATTGACTTTATGAGCTGGGCATATGGAATTGGATGTTGGTTTAATGAAGATACACTGGGTTTGTCTTTCGTTGTTTGTTGGGGTTTGAGTTCATCTCGAAATCAAGCCCTATTCAATAATCTCGTTCACTCGGCTGCTGCAACTGTTCAAATGGTGTGTGCTTTGTTGAAAGATTACGGGCGGACACAATCCAATTTGGGTGGGGTTCCATTGGACCGTGAGATTGAAGTGGAGACCGCCGGCTGAGGGGATCTTTAAAGTGAACTTTGACGGGCCATGTTCAAGCGACAGCATGCATGTGGTGTGGGGGTCATGATTCGTGATCACAATGGTGTGCCGATAGCTGTTTTATTGGAGCAAATTCTGACATGGATGAAGGCAAATTGTATTGAAGCTCTTGCGGCTGTAAAGGCGTTGGACTTTGCAGTCGAGTTGGGGTTAACAAACATTCATTTGGAAGGTGATTCTCTTACTGTGGTGAATGCAATATGAGAAGATCGACATCTGTGTGCCCTGTTTGGTCATTTTTTACAATGTGCCATTTCTCGTAGCAAGCAATTTTCGAGTTTTGGTGTTTCACATATGCGGCGGAATGGCAACCTTATGGCTCATCACTTGCCACAAATGTTGGCACAAATGGCCAAGGAAGTTCCAGACGAGAGTTTGGATGGCTGAGGTCCTTGCTCATTTAGTGCATGTTTTGTTGAGGGAAGTTCCCATTTTGTAGGGAGAAATGTTAGGGATCATGAAATTTTTTTCATGAAAATGATCATGAAATATTTATGATCTTTAGATTACCTTGATTAGTGTGTGGTGTTTTATTCTAAATATAATCCAAAGGTCACAAGTCTTTCATGATCATTTTCATGAAAGACTTTTCATAATACCTAGCATTGTTGTTTTGTAGGGGGTCCAACCCTCCACCCTCTAAAAAAAATTTAAATAGGTCATGTTAATATTGAATTATTTGAACACAAACCTGATATGACATAATATAAAAACGATACGATTTTCACCCCTAATTGTAGATGGTGTCACCGGTACTTGCTTTTAGGGAGTGATGGCTTTTCTTGAGAGGGGAAGAGATTTGGTTGGGGTGGAGAGGGTAAAGTAGTATGATAAAATGGAGGAAAAGAATTAAAAAAAAAAATAGGTGAATTATACCAATAGTCCCTATAGTTTGGAACTTATATCACTTTAGTCATTGATTTTTCAATTGTGACACATTTGACTTTGGATTTTGAATCTTGTTTCAATTAAGGACAATTGAAGATATTATTAGATTTTTCAAGGGTAAAATAGTCAATTTGATAAAATATAAACTAATTTGACAAAAATAAGTGTCAAAAAAATATTTTTGAATTTTTAAAAATTATTTCTACCCACTAAAGATAAAATTATGTAAAATTAATAAATCTTTTAGACATTTATCTATTTTTTTTACCAAATTAATTTTTATTATGTGTTTGTATGATGATCATGTAAAATTAATTTTTAAAAATTAATTATGTAATTTTTATTGATTTTGATCAATTTTACATAATTTTATCTTTAGTGGATGGAAAAAAATTTTAAAAAATTTAAAATATTTTTTTGACATTATTTTTGTCAACTTAGTTTATATTTTTTTAAATTGACGATTTTGTCCTTGAAATTAAATAATGATATCTTCAATTGTCCTTATTTGAAACAAGATTCAAAATTCAGGGTTAAATGTGTCACAATTGAAAAGTCAAGGACTAAAGTGACACAAGTCCAAAACTATAGGGACTGTTAGTGTAATTTGTCCAAAAAAAAATTAAAAAAATTAGAGAATGAGAGGGCCATTGAGTAAGTTGATCTTTAAAAACCAGGATAACTTATCAGTTGACATTTTACATTTAAATACAAAAAAGAAAAAAATTATGAATAAAAAAGTAACTTCATAAATTATGTAATGAAAAGGAGGTATGTGTAATATTGTCAAATAGTAGTGCTTGTTATATATATATTTTAAATTTTAGGAGAAGTGTAATTTATCAAAAAAAAAAAAAAAAAAAAAACCTTCTTAAATTATGTAATGAAAGGGAGACTAGTAGTGCTTGTTATATATATAATTTTAGGAGAAGTAAATGTAGTTTATCAAAAAAATAATCAATCTTTTTTTTGTTTAATTGATAAACCATTTTAGCTTGAAGAATAGAACTAACTTAAAATTACACATTTTAGCTTTTAAGTAACATGTTTGTTGTAGTTTATAATTAATTATTTATGCTTATTTAGTCTTAAATAAGCTGAGATGTTTATCTAAATAAATAAATAAATAAATAAGTTGATATGATATAAACAGGTTGTTTGATATTGCATCTCATCGTATCGATTATACAAAATAAGGGTTGGATTTCTCTAAAATTCAAATTTTAATGAGCCTATCATAAGTCTCATTTTGATGATGATTCAAACCGTTCATTTTATAGAGCATATCATTTATTAAAAAATTAAAATGATTTGATAATTACAATCTTTTTATTTTATTACGTTAGTCTCCAAAAAAATTAACAAATATGTTTTCAAAAATAAATAAATCACGAGTTACTCAATTTCAATGAACCAAACACTATTTCTTTTTTGATTCAAAGGAAATTAAAGCAAACAAAGGAGAAAAATGAGTTCAGAAGAACAATCAAAGGATAAGTCCCTCTCAACAGACACTCCAGTCATGTTATCTATGAGAAGAGCTGTGACTTTCGTAGGAGGATCCTCAAGGATCATTGCATGTTCGTGCTGGGCTACTCCCAAATTAGTTAACCTATCAGCTACTTTGTTGCCCTCTCTCAAGGTATAGAGGAGAGAACAATAACATCTCTGTAGGAGGAATTTAACATATTCAATGAGGGTCTTGAGAGAAGAATTTGGATGTGGCCCATGTTGAATTTGATGCATGGCTTGTTCTGAATCTGTTTCAAGTTCCACATTGGTAACTTCTTTCTGGAACAAGATTGTGAGTCCTCGATATATTGTCCAAATTTCCACTTTTAGACTTGTGCAATGACCCAGTTTGTCATTGTAGCACCATAACCAAGTGCCTGTCTCGTCTCTCAAAAGTTCTCCATAGCCTGCTTGGCTTGAGTCACCCTTTGAACAATCATCTATATTGAGTTTAAGATTGCTTGCAAGGGGAAACACTATTTCGAGTCTTGGTTTAATTTATCTTTTAATTTGATCGTTTCACATATTTCTGCTGAATAGAGGACGAGAATGAATAATGAACAAATGATCAATAGTTTTTATTATAAATAAAATAACAGAAACCAATAAATCAAATGGGGGATGTAGCTCAGATGGTAGAGCGCTCGCTTAGCATGCGAGAGGTACGGGGATCGATATCCCGCATCTCCATTCTCTACTTGTGATTTTTGATGAAATTGTAACTTAACACCCCGCATCTCCGTTCTCTACTTTTTACTAGTGATTTTTGATGAAATTGTAACTTTTTTAAGTTGCTAATTTAAAAAAGGGTATTTTGTCAAACATAATATATTTTTACAACATACTTTTTGAAGCTGCTATTTGGAAAAATGAGTTATATTTTGACAGATTACAACGTAATATATTTTTACAATTTGTTATTGCAAGAATAATTCTGTTTGATTTTAGAATTTTAAAAAGAGAAAATTACTCTCAAATCTTATTTGGAGAAAAGTTATTCCATTTAATTTCAGAAGTTTTCTTTCAAATCAATTAATTCTTTTTATTTTGGATATGTTATATTTCCTTGATTTGGAGGTTTGAAAATTTACTTGTTTGCCCTTGTATGTGATTTTGTTTTGATTTTTTTTTCCTAATGTCGAGTGTGCGTGGGTAAAGTAGGTTTTTAAGTTTCTATTTTTTGTGGGGATTTAGTGGAGTGATTTGTAGGTGGATGATGTTACCCCGTTTGTAGTGTTATTGGTGTGGTGTTCGTCCCTATTGTAATATTGACATTAATAATTGAAAAATCTAGAAACCTCCTAGATGTTGATTTGTGATTATGTATCAATTTTAAGCAAAATATAACAATCCCAATCAAACAATCAAGATAAAGAGACACAACGATTTAACGTGGAAAAAACCACAATTGGACACCTCCAACTGTGATCAAAAAACCACGGGCAACAGCCACAAGACAGATTACAACGTAATATATTTTTACAATTTGTTATTGCAAGAATAATTCTGTTTGATTTTAGAATTTTAAAAAGAGAAAATTACTCTTAAATCTCATTTGGAGAAAAGTTATTCCATTTAATTTCAGAAGTTTTCTTTGAAATTAATTAATTCTTTTTATTTTGGATATGTTATATTTCTTTGATTTGGAGGTTTGAAAATTTACTTGTTTGTCCTTGTATGTGATTTTGTTTGGATTTTTTTTTCCTAATGTCGAGTGTGCGTGGGTAAAGTAGGTTTTTACGTTTCTATTTTTTGTGGAGATTTAGTGGAGTGATTTGTAGGTGGATGATGTTACCCCGTTTGTGGTGTTATTGGTGTGGTGTTCGTCCCTATTGTAATATTGACATTAATAAACATCCAAACGTAACACTAATGTAACACATAAAAAAACTCTTTATTGTACTTTTTCCAAACGTAACACTCCAAATTTTTTTTCTTAGTGTAATACTCTAAAGTAACATACAAAAAAATTTCATATTGTAACACTCTAATGTAACACACAAAAAAACAATAAAAACCTAACAATAAACATCCAAACGTAACACTAATGTAACACATAAAAAAACTCTTTATTGTACTTTTTCCAAACGTAACACTCCAAATTTTTTTTCTTAGTGTAATACTCTAAAGTAACATACAAAAAAATTTCATATTGTAACACTCTAATGTAACACACAAAAAAACTCCTTAGTGTATTTTTTTCCAAACGTAATACTCTAATATAATACACAAAAAAACTCCTTAATGTAACACACTAATGTAGCACACACAAAACTTCTTAGTGTAGCACTCTAATGTAACATACAAAAAAACTTATTTATGTACTTTTTTCAAATGTAACACTCTAATATAATATTCTAAAAAAATTTCTTAGTGTAACATTCTAATATAACACACAAAAACTCCTTAATGTAACATTCTAATGTAACACACAAAAAAACTCCTTAGTGTACTTTTTCCCAAACGTAGCACTTCAATATAACACTCTAAAAAAATTCCTTAGTGTAACACTTTAATGTAACACACAAAAAAAATCTTTAGTGTACTTATCCCAAATGTAACGTTCCAATGTAACACAAAAAAAAAAAAAAAAAAATCTTAATGTACTTTTTATAAACGTAACACTCCAATGTAACACTATATAAAAAAAAATGTGAGATTCTTCAAACTATTCTAAAAGGAGTACAAATATTCCTTAGTAAGTTATGAATAAATGTGTAATTCAAACTGTGAGTGTTACGTTTAAAAAAAATATACTAAGGAGTGTTTTTAGTGTTTTTGTGCATTATGTTAGAGTATATTATATTAGAGTATTACGTTTAAGATTACATTGACTGAAAAGTTACGTTTGGAAAAAGCATACTAAGGATTTTTTATTTTATTTTATTTTATTTTTTTTTATATTGAAGTGTTGAGTTTTGGAAAAGTACATGAAAGAATTTGTTTTGAGTGTTACGTTGTTACGTTTGGGAAAAGTACACTAATGAGTTTTTTAGTGAGTTATATAGAAGTGTTACGTTATTGGAGTGTTATATTAGAGTTTAGATTTTTGTTCATAATGTGTGATTTGTTCTAGAATAAGGGAAAATCCAAAACTTCTATAGTGTAAATTGTCCAAATGTGTAATTTTTTAGTGTAAATTGTCTAAATGTGTAATTTTACATTTTGAAAAAATCACTTTATTTCTAAAAAATTAAACCCAAACATGTAAGTGATTACCTTTTTATGTAATTTCCATTTTAATGAGACCTTTAGGTTTATAAAAAAAAAGAGAGGACTAAATCATTCACAAGATCACATTTTGGGATTTATTAGTGTTTCACCCTTTTGAAAAATAGTTTTCAAGTTTTTAATCGTTTTATTTATTTATTTATTTAATATTTTAATTTTTTTTGTTTTTACATTTTAAATCCATTTAATCTAAGTATACTTAAAAATACAAAATTTTAAATATTTTCAAAAAAAAAAAAATACTAAATACAAAAATATGCAAAAAATGTATATTTTTTATTTTTTAAAAAAATTCTTCATAAATATTTTGTTTTTAAGTAAATTTAAATTAGATTAGCAATTGGTACAAACAATACGTGCAATTCAAATATGTAAAAATAAAATAAAAGGTAGATTACATTTATATCCTCTGAAGTTTGAATTTAATACATATCATCCTTAACGTTTGAGAAATTACACTAACCCCAATTATTGTAATTATTTAGACAGAATTAATGTTGATGTCAAAAAAATATTAAATTTATACACTTTTTTTTCTTACTTTATTTTACTTTATTTTGTTTTTTTTTCTCTTACTTTTCTTTGCTTTACTTTTTTTCTTTTTTTTTTCAATGTAATTTTCTCTATTTTTCTATCGAGAATTGTTAATTTTTATATAAACAGAGAGTTTGTGAAATAAAACTATTAATCACAGGAGTGAGAATGTAATTTTAATAAAGTCAAAATGTGAAATGTAATAGGACCAAATCTCAAAGGGAGTTAGTTTAATTTATCCTAAAATTAAAATATACATTATATATTGCGTGACATTTCAAATAGTAGGATCTAAGGTCAATATTCGAGTGTCCAGATTTCACTTACCATAATAATATAGATTCATCTAAATAAAAAATTAATTAATTAAAATATTAAAAAATGACTATAAATAATAAAACATTAAAAAAAAAAACTATGTTAAAGCTAAAAACCAAACAGAGCATGGCCGAATCACTTCCTGATTGGCCCATCCGGAGCACAACCCTCTCCTTGCCAACGGATATATATAAATGTGGTTGTAAGAATTCTTCACTCTTATCAACTTCCACAGAGAGAGAGAGAGAGAGCGCTTCAATGGCTACACTTGGCTTCAATCCTACCAAAATCAGAACCCAAACGTTTCAATCTCACAAACTCATCTCCAACATCATTTCTCTTTCAAAACCCACCAAAATTCCATTGAACCTCTCTCAATTCTCCGCAAATTCACCAACAACTCGCCTTTTTGGACACAGCTCTGTATCCAAAAGCTCTGTTTCAGCACCTTTTGAAGCAGAGACGGTTGATGAAGAAGATGACCCAACTGCAGAGCTGAGCTATCTGGACCCAGAAGTCGATCCCGAGAGCATTTCTGAGTGGGAATTGGATTTCTGCTCCAGACCCATTCTTGATATCAGAGGGAAGAAGATTTGGGAGCTTCTTGTATGCGATGATTCATTGTCTCTTCAATTCACAAAGTACTTTCCTAACAATGTCATCAACAGTCTCACTTTGAAGGACGCTATTGTATCGATTAGTGACGAATTGGGTGTACCTTTGCCTGATAAAGTTCGATTCTTCAGGTGAATTTATTTGGGTAATTCATGGTTCTATCTATACATTGCATTTGGATGTTTATGGTTTTGGATTTTTGTTAGGATTATTTACCTGGAGACCCCTAAACTAAATTATTGAAAAGTATTATTTTGACTCACTAAATTATAAAAATATAACATTTAAATTATTGAGAATTATCACTTACCCTCTAAATTATAAAATCGTAGAACAAATGAATCCCTAAATTATAAAAGCCCATAAATGGGACCCTAACAGAAGGGGTCAAACTAAAAATTTAGTTGACAAAGTGATACTTCTCAATAGTTAGGAAATCAATTTATACAATTTTATAGTTTAGGGGATTAAAGTAATACTTTTCCATATTTTAGGGGTGTTCGTGCAAATAAACCTTTTTGTTATACATAATGGAAATTGATTGGTTTTGGTTTATGGTTTATAGGTCACAAATGCAGACAATCATTATGAAAGCATGTAAAGAGCTTGGTATAAAACCTGTTCCAAGTAAACGGGTGTGCCTGCTTTCTTTCCTCTTTCCTCTTTTTTTTTCTATAAATATAAATTTGTATTTATTTATTTTATTCATCCGCGCATGGCGTAGCGGTAAAGCTATCCCTTGGTGAGCTGGTGGTCACGGGTCGAGTGGCGGAAAAAACCTCTCCGCTTGTGGGGCATTGGGTATGCCCTGCGTATATCAATCCTTTCCCAGACACCGCTTAAACGGGAGCTTCATGCACTGGGTACACCCTTTTTTATCCATGCCTGCTCTATCCCATAGTGGCCTAAGATTTTTGGAGGCTTCAGATTAAACATCAAAATGAGACCTCATCTAATTAAACCTTTCAAAAGTTGGGCATTCGACAATAAGAATTTTTTGAAATTTTTTGGTGGGGCTTAGGTGATAAGCTTAATGGCCTAATGGTTGAGCCACCTATCTGGACCACAAAAATATGCATTATAGATGCAGCTAAAAAAAAAATGATGTGTAAGAGACCCCGTAATGAATTCATAATTAACATCCAAAAAGTACGATTTTATCTTACTAACTAGTCTTGGACATAATGTATCTTGTCGCATGTGTCCATTAAAAGGAAATGAGCTGTGAATTCAAATATGAAATCTATTCATTTATGTGAGGACCTCACATGATATCTGTCTTATCAATAGTACATGTTCATGTTGAGGCAAATGGATTCTTAAGCATGAATTCAACGGGCTACACAGAGTGAAACAATCTAAATACGTGTCTTCCTTTGGGCTATGCCTGGGGTCTGAACGAGGGTGGAGGTGGCAGGACAGATATTTTCATAAAGGAAAGAAAGGAGAAAAAGCCGGGAGGTAAGGGCGCATTGTTGAAGGCATAGTGAGGGCTGAAACAAGATAGAAGAAATTTTTATAGCCATCTCATTAATAGGTCTATTTTGCTTTACTTTATTGGGATAAGGGGGGTTTGGGTTCGTTTGACAGCAATTTTGATTCTATGAGAAGCATGCTACTTAAACCAAGCTTTTTTTTGACAGAAATTTTGATTCTACCAGTATTTATTTGTCCCGTGTCCTAAATAAGAATTTTTTATTGCGGTGCAAATTGTGCACTCTTACTTCCGAAATCATGTGATGCACTCTATGCTTTCCTACAACATATTTAGCTTTAGCAACTTTCACTAGTGCTTAGCTACTTATCGAAACCCAGCAAGATTCTCCACACTTGTACTTACAATGGCTTTCTTAAAAGTGGCTACAGCCTACAAGTCCAAAGCTAAGAAGGCAGGTAGTTGATACAGGTTTGCTGAACGTATTACCTTTCCCTAGAGTGAGCACGAGGGTGGAGTTAACTATGCAAGTGTGAATAAGAGTTTCCCCAAATGACCCACCACTATCTGAAAGCCATAGCACTAGAGAAACAAGAATCTTAACTTTTCTATTTTGCTTAATGGATAGAAATTCTTCGATTCAAGATCCCTTACCTTATGCTCTGCCCTAGTGTTATAATTTTAGTTTTAGAGAAGGTTTACGCTCTTTTCTTTTTGGTGTCACACTTGATTATTTGCTAGAATTGAATAGAGGACGATTGTATATCATTTTAGAAAATTGAGAAATTCAATGCACTCACCCTATTTGATACAAGTAGTTTTCTATACATTAAGGATAGCCAAATTTTAATGTTGAAATACGAATGGTGGTATAGGCATTATTCATTATCAACCAAGAAAGTAATGTCTGTCCTTCTGAAGTCATCATATGCTGCACCACAGGGTTCACATAAGTTGTTACCTACAAATTTAAATAATCCATTCAAATTGTGAAAAACACATAATAGAACATTGTGAAAGTTTTGTTTCACATGATTTACCCTACTGCTATTGTAATTTTTCTTCATTTGGTTGGTCAAATTTCAGTGTCTATCACTACTTCTGTGGCTGGAGGAACGCTACGAAACTGTATACATGCGTCATCCTGGTTTTCAGAAAGGTGCTAAACCACTTCTGGCACTAGATAACCCTTTTCCGATGGAACTTCCGGAGAATTTGTTTGGCGAGAAATGGGCCTTTGTCCAGTTACCCTTTTCAGGTAACCACATAAAATGAAATTGACAGGTGTAATTTATTATTATTATGTTTATTATAGGAAAATTTGTAATAACATTGCATAAATGGCTGCAATTGTTATTTCTATCTATTTGCTTACATCCAAACTCAAAACTATATTATGTATACTGAAAATTGAAGTTGGAAAAAGGAAATAAGCTTGTCAATTTTCATTCTGTTTAGTTAAGAGTGCAAAATTGGATCAAGATCAAGTCATCTACTTCAGCAGTTTCTACGCTACAGCCAAGATTTCCAATAATGCAAATTCCAGTTCTCACTCATTTTGGGAACCAATATTGTCATTTCCATTTTGCAATTTTTTTCTTCTTGCAAACTAATTATAGTTTCTCCTGTTTCAGATGAAGCTGAAAAACAAAAGACTCTTTAGAGACAAAATTTGTCTTTGGTGCAAGTCTAGATTTGGATCTTTTGGGGATTGAAATTGATGGCAAGACAATGATTCCTGGATTGGCTGTTGCATCTTCACGAGCTAAACCATTAGCAGGTATGTCCATATATCCCTTTGGAAATCTTCAGTTAGCATCTAAATGTCAGCAATGCTATTTGTAATCAGTGCTTTGCTAAATACACTGCTTGCATGTTGGGATAGTCAGGCAGAATTATCATATCCTTTTACCAGATCCAAATCTAGTAAACTCAGCTTTGTAATTCTTGATATGGTTCACCTAAATGAGATTTGAAATGACTTAGCGGCATGGCATTACTCAAAAGAAAAGAAAATGAAATTTGACCGGGTTGTTTCCGACAAAAAATAATTACTAAGCTCAACCTAGGAGGCATGGAGTGCCATGGTGCCATGATGTATGCTTTTTGCAGATAAAATCTTGTTAGTAGATGAGACTGGAGAAGGAGTTAACACTACTTTAGAGACTTGGAGAGAAGCACTTGAATTTAAAAGATTTAGGATAAGCAGAATCAAGACAAAGTACATGAAGTGTAATTTTAGTAATAGTAACAATGGAAACAGAGTTGAAGTGAACATTGCGAATCAAGAACTACCTAAGAGTGAACTTTTTCGTTATTTATGATCGATTATCACAATAACTGGGGAGTGATGGGTCGTTTCATACACCAAAAATAAATACTAAATTATACCAAATTCTTTAGAATAGAAAACCCTATTTACTTGGATAGGGTTTCATCAAAACCCTAGAAAGAGGAGCTTAGCCACTCATAGAGGAGTGGGAAGAAGTAAAAGAAGAAGAACCATCTATGGAAATTGCCCTAGCAAGCTTGAGAATCCTTTCTTCCAAACCCTAGCCTCTTCTCTCTCTTGGAATTTTTCAAAACCCTATTCCAGCCTCTTTTTCTTCTCTTTATACCTCCTCTTCTTTTGAACAGGTTTAAAACATTGGGCACGTTTTTCAAGGTACGGCCACACGTGTGGCAAGGGTTCCGCACATGTGGGAAAAACCCTCCGCACGTGTAGGAGAGCTGGGGCCCTGTTTGGCTGCAAGGTAAAGACTGCACGTGCAAGAATGGGCCTCCGCACGCGCTTGAAGCAATTTTCTTTGCATTTTTGCTCATTTTATACTCCCATTATGTACAAACCTGATTGACATTAAACAGGCATAAAATGTATAATTTAACAAGCAAGTAAAGTTAAGAGATCCTAATGAACGGCCTCAGTATTGTACAATTCGGTCTTAATCAGGGAGATTGAAGCAGATGTGATCTATAGAATTAAGGCGGGGTGGCATAGATAGAGGAGTGCGATTGAAGTATTGTGCAATAAACGAGTACCCACTAGATTAAAAGAAAAGTTCTATAGAACGGCTATTAGACTAGTGATGTTGTATGGGACGGGATGGTAAGCAACTAAGAAACAACATGTAGATAAGATGAGTATTGCCAAGATGAGGATGCCAAAGTGGATGTGTGGCAAGGCTAAAAAAGACAGAGTTAGGAATGAGTATATTAGTGAATGGGTAGGAGTAGCACCGATAAAAGATAAATTGAGAGAGAATAGATTGAGATGGTTTTGTCATATACAATGGAGACCAACAGAGGCAATAATGAAAAGATGCAATACAGTGACAGTAGAGAGAAGTGTTAGGGGAAGAAGTAGACCTAGATTGGCGTGGGTTAGTGTAGTAAATAAAGATATAAATCTTCTTAATTTGACTAACCAAATGGCCTTTGATAGAGTTGAGTAGAGAAGAAAGATTCATGTAACTAATCCCATTTAATAGGGATTTACGGCTTGGTTTGGTTAACCTAGGAAGTATGGATATGGATACAGGATTCGATGATACGCCAAAATTTTAAAAGTAGAATACGAGTACAGTGAGGATACGTGCGTAAAAAAAAATTATTTCTTTTAATTTTAATAATATAATGTGTATGAAAATAAAACCTAAAACAAATTAAAAAATAAATAAATGGATTCCTATGAAATAAAGAAATACTAACATTAAAGTTTCTAAAATTAAAAATTTGGTAAAAACAATACTTACATTAAAACAATATAGGAAAAAAAAGTAAAAAAAAATTAAATAAAGCAGCCTAATAGATAGGGGGAAAAACAAAAAAGAACAAGAGCTGAGAGAACAAACGTGAGAGAGTGAGAGAGAGAGAACGACAAGAGCAAGATGAGAGACAGAGAGAACGAGAGAGAGAAAGAGAAAACGAGAGTGAGAGAGAGAACCTATTGTTGTATATAGCTTTTTGCTTTGATTTGTCTTCGAGAGTAAGAGAGAGAGAACTTGCTGTGGTCAATCAAGAAGGAACCAAATTTTTGCTTTGCTTTTTCGATTTGAACTTAGGGTTTTCTTTTCACATTTTTGTTGATTTTGGTTCGTGCGTATATGCCTGATTTGAGAATATGATTTGTATTTTTTCTATCTAATTTATTTTATTTATGGTTTGACCCACAAAAAAGTTTTCAAAGTGACGTTTTCTACCCCGCTGTATCCAAAAAGTATTCGGAACGTATCTCCCACGTATCCATGCGTATCCAAGCCAAATTTGAAATTCAAAAAAAAAAAATAAAAATTTGGGATACTTTCTGTCTGTATCCGAGCGTATCGGACGCGTATTCGTGTCCGATACTTATAGACAACCTATTTTGAAGTATCTGTGCTTCATAGTCAACCTCTAATTCAATAGAACCGTGGCAAATTTAGGAATCGATCCATAGGGATTGGTGAGGTAAATTCTATGAGGCACGTATATGAATACGGACACGAGACACGACATGAACACACAAACACACAAATCTTCTAAAAGCAAGGGACACGACATGCTAGAGACACGTTCAATGTATATAATTTTATTTTTTTTATTATGTCTAAAATTGAAAGGAAAAAAAAAGTTCATTGAAAGGTAATAAAAAAAAATAGAAAGAGGAAAAAAAAGAAGAAAAAAAAGAGGGGCTTAGATATAAATTAAAAAAAAAAAGATTTTTGTTATAAAAAAAGAAGAAGATATCTTTAATCTCTAATTACAGAGAGAAGAAAAAGAAACAAAAAATAAAAATAAAAAGAATTTTTAAACTCATAAGAGAGAATACTATATATATATATATATATAAATAGAAAACATAGATCAGAAAACAGAGGGAGAGAGTCAAAAGCAGAGAGAGATAGATCGAGAGAGGACCTGCGAAAAAGCGAGAGAGAGAGAGAGAGCCAAAAGACACATAGATAGAGAGACGACCTGCGAACTGAAGAAAGAAGAAAAATGAAGCAAAGAAGAAGAACGAAGGACATACCTCGATCTAGGCTTCGATTGGCTCAGGTTCTTCTCTGTTCTTCTCTTCTCCTTCTTCAATTCAATTTTCTCTTCTCTCTTCTTTTTTAGTTTTTGTTTTTTACAGTTTGGCCCCATTTAGAAGTTTCAAAAATTACAATCTGTACCATGCGGTGTTTGAAACGTGTCCGAGCATGTCCAAAACATGTTCAGCTGCAAAAAATTCAAAAAAAAAGGGAACACTTTGGGAGAGTGTCGGACACGTGTCTACAGCATGTCCGACGCGTGTCCTGTTGAATATAGAAATTAGAATATATAGAATCTTTTTATTTTTGGTATTATATATATAATCTGTGATTATGTCAATCACTGATTTAGTATTGTTTTCTTATTTATATCGTTTTCTAAATTGTATCGTGAATCTATTATATATACATGGCCTCTACCTCATTCATGGGTAAGTCAAATAATTCTTTTCATTCTTTTTGGTATCAGAGTTATAGGTTAAGCTCTTTGTGTTTTTTGCCTTACCGGCGGGCAGCAACCTTGCCTTGGCTGCCTGTCAGACGTCAACCTATTCCGCCGTCATATTTTCTTTCAGTATCACTTTGTGGTGATCTCTTCCTCTATCTACTAGTTTATTTCTATTCCAAATATTTCTATCATATATATATATTTTTTACTCGCAATCCATTTTTGTGTACGTTTTTGTTCCATTATCTTTCCCTCTATTTCAACCTCAAATAGGTTTCTATCTTCAAACCTATTTGAGTTTGAGGGGGGTATTATACCTATATCATGGTGAGCATGGTGATATACCGTATGAACCACCTAAGCCGCCCTATCTGGCATACAACCCAAGTCACCCCCTTTGACGCACAACTTAAGTCGCCCCCTTAGTGCACCACCTAGGCTACCCCCCTGGTGCACTTTCTAATAAGCCGCCCCTTTGGCACACTCAGTCATCTGTTGCTATCATTGTTTAGCACCACATCATAAGTTATGTGGGTGCCACGCTCAACATTCAGTTCTTACAATAGTCCAGCATGACCTTAAATTATCCCGACAATAGTTCCGATCAGTTCCGACAACGGTCTGGCATGACCCCTTTAAATTGTCTCGACATTGATTCTGGTTGGTCTCTACAACGGTCCGACATGACCCTTTAAATTGTTCCGACATTGATTCCGGTTAGTTCGTACAACAGTCCGGCATGACCCTTTAAACTGTCCCAGCATTGATTCCGGTCAGTTTCTTTTAGGGCAGCACAATCCCTAATTTTTTCCCTTTCTAGGGTGTGGTGCTGATGTATGAAGCACATTTTGGCTTTTTTTATTTAGTGGACTACTAGATTTGTTCAGTAGCATTTATTTGGACTAGCTGTTGAGGTTTTTTATGACTTTTTCCAGTCATCCATTGGCTAGCTGCGATTGATGAATATCTTCACATTAGCTTGAGGGGGAGTGTTGAATATAGAAATTAGAGTACATAGAATCTTTTTATTTTTGATATTATGTATATAATCTATGATTATGCCAATCACTGATTTAGTATTGTTTCCTTATTTATATCGTTTCCTAAATTATATCATGAACTATTATATATACATGACCCCTACCTCATTCATGGGTAAGCCAAATAATTATTTTCATTCCTTTTGTCCATGTCCAACACATGTCCAACACTGATACGTAGGCCTTGGGAAGGTGTCCATGCTTCATAGGGTAAATTGACTTATTTCAAATGACAATTCCTAATTTAATTTAAACAAATGGTCGAAATTTAATTAATCTAATAGTTAAAACTACAAAGTCCTAAATTAATCAAGCAGTAAAGATGAAGAGAATAATATAGAGGGAGTCGTAGGGAATTGAATCCACTTCTAGTTAAGGAGCTAGGAGTTATGTATCGGGTCATGGGAAATCATTGATTTGAAGCGAAATAACGTTCTGTGATTGCAAGTGCGGAACCTTTGGCAAGAAGATTGTTGTGTTCAAAATATAGGCACAAATCATCTTTGGTTAGCACAAATCATCCGTGTGACACCCCAATTTTTGAAAAAAACAAGGTGAGGTAATTATATAATATAGTAGGGTTTAACTAGTGAAAGCACAACATTTTATAGATAATTAAGCATGAAATACAAATATTGACAATAAAAGTAATATTAGTAATTACAGACAAGAGTTTCAAGTTACTAATTACGAAACAAGTCTCTTTGCAAAAATTAACGAAATACAGAAATATCTAATCTCTAACGCAGCCACGGTTCTTCAAATGTTTCGGCAATTCCATCTTCAGTATAATACTCCTCTTCACCTGGTATGAAACACCATGAGTTTAGAATGCCTATTAAATACACACACACCCTAAAACCCTTAACCAATACAAATAAACAGGTACAATGCATAACAGGATATAACACTTGGAACAATAACAACATCATGGTAACAATGTTAACACATCAAAAAGTTCGTATAACAACGAGAATCCCCCAAAGTGATTCATCCTCCCAACTACAAGAATGGACTCAGATTATTTGGTACCCCCTCTTTTGCCACTCTGCAGACCTTACCTTGGATGCCTACGACGGTTATCTACAGTGTAGAGCCAACTAAAAACCTCAAAAGAGACGGTTGAAAAAAACACGGGTCAACACTTGGAATGTCCTCGACTAAACCCGACCTTATCCCTCTGGAAAACAAGATGCCACATAGAGTTTGATTACGATTGAGACATTCTAGGGTTACAAAACAACCACTTGCACAAGACTTAATGCATTCTGATAACATAATTCATCATAATCTATATTCCATACATAACCATTTAATAAAGCAATCCGAGTCACTACTGTGAAAGTCACCCGTTACCAACCCCTTACTTTTTCTGTTTATTAGGTATTTTAAGATGCAGGTTAGCTACATTCAATAGCACAACATGAACAAGGGTCAAGTATATGTGAGAAAATGTAATACATAATGATGTATACAAGACATGGTAAAGCAAGAAACGACATTAAGCAGAGCTACTGGAAACACTTAAGAACAAAACAACATGTAAGGTTGTAAACTTCCAGCATTTCAGGATATCAAAGGTGAAAAGAATAAATCGGAAAACATACTTCCAGGTCACCCTAGAGGCTGAAATTGTAGAGGCATATAAAACATGAAGTCTACTTTCATCCCTAATTTGTGGAATTAGGATAGCATAACCAGAACTCAATATTTTTACATTTTATTAAACTCTGTCCAGATTTATCACACTTTGGGACGAATGGATTTTCTCTCAAACCACTCAATCTTTTCTTCTCAAATAAATCTTGTTACAAAGAGGACTCAAAAAAATCTAGTATTTGACTTGAGAACCAACGTGAGGGATTTTTCTGGAATTTTATAAAAATGAAGAAGTTGGCTGTTTTTCTGGAACTCAGGGTCAAAATTTTGAAAGAAGCTTTTAGGCTACCAAAACACTTAGTTAGGCTCTACCCAAGCTCACACATTCTCTACACTCATCAAATATTACCCCATAAAATAGGTCTTGAGTTCATGAAGGTTTGGTATTTTTCAAAATTAGTAGAAAGCTCCAGCAGTGTGTTTAAGAGAAGAAGAAAGAAAACAAGAACCTCTTTTTCATGCAAACCCTCATACACCCAATCCATTGCCGTGCATATCATCATATTACATACTTAAAAAGACATATTTGAAGATAGGGTAAGAAGGAAAGAAGGGGTTGGAGAAACGTAGAGAGTGAGTGTAACTTACATGTGCTAGCCTTTCTTGCTTTCTTCTTCCATTTCTTTTCTTATCCCCATTTTTTTTTTTTTTTTTAACTCACAAAATCAAACTCACTCTCTCTCTACTTATGGCCAGCCAAGAGTGTCCAAATGAGAGGGGAGAGTATTTTATTTATAGAGAGAAGCTTGGTTGTGAAAAGACTAAAAAATCCTTGGTTAGAATGGAATGGAAACCTTGGTGATTTAGTCAGAATAGAATGAAATGAAAGGTGAATTAGGATTGAAGCTTGATTAATTAGGAAGCTAGTTTGATTAGGAGAAGACGTGGAGACAAAGGAAAAACACATTCCTTGAATTAGGGGTACTACATTGACTTCCATTTTCTTTCCCCCTTTTTTTTTTTTTATACTTATTACGTGAAATTAGTCATTCATCTAGCCTTCTACCATGCCCTAGCTGACCACCCCTCTCCTTAGGTACAAATACACACACACACACACACACATATATAAGGAAGATGTTTTGTATAAAATATGGATATATAATAATATAAGGACGATATATTTTAATATATGGGGATTTATGTGTAGGTTCTAATAGGTGGACTTATTGTCTAATAAGTTCTATGATAATTTATGACATTTTTCATCAAACACTATTAAAAAACGTCACTAATTGTTAATTTTTAGCAATATGGTGGTCACGGGTTCGAGTTGCAGAAACAACCTCTTTGCTTGCGGGGGTAAGGTTGCGTACATCAATCCTTTCGCAAACCCCACTTAAGCAGGAGCTTCGTGTACTAGGCATGCCCTTTTTGTTTGAAAATTTTGTCATAAAAAACGTCACTAATTTTTCGTTTTAGTGACAGTTTAAAAACATCGTCACAAAAAAGTCGCTAATTTTCAACTTTAAGTGATAGATTGAAAATTTTGTCACAGAAAAATATCACTAATTGTAAGTTTTAGCAACAATTTATAAAAATTGTGACAAATGAAAGTCACTAATTGTCAATTTTTAGCGACATGCAAAAAATCGTTACAAAAAATTATTTTTAGTGACGATTTTAGTCGGCCTTATTTTTAATAGGATTTGATGGGAATTAAGTCAAATTATTAGGATTTATTGGTAGTTTACCCTTAATATATTAAGGTTTGGGGTCAAATTGCAATAGATTTAAAATGCAAGGGCCAAATCTGAAATTATGAAGTAAAAACACTTATTATTGATATATAAATAATATAATATAACTAGGAAAAATAATTCGGGTTCTGTTGCATGGATTCGCAAAGAAAGGCGAGAAACTGGGTAAAAACTAGAAAAAAAACAATGCCCAATTAGTACACATTAATGTGTGTTTGGGAGGGGAAAGATTGAGTACACACTTAACCTTTGGTATAATGCACAAAGTGGTGGTCCCAAGACTTGAACCCATAACTTCATGGTTGTTAGGCCATGTCTTAACCATTGAACCAATGGTAAAAATTAGAACTATGATTTTATCTGATTAAATTGTTTTCTAGGGTTTTACTATTCATGTTCTAGGGTTTAAATGTATTGTTTAGGATCCCAGAGTCGAATAGGGTTTTGTCGGACTATTTCATACCGTTTCTCAGTTCCAAGGTTTATCGCACAAGGATTCGACAAAGTCGGGTTCTTTATTGGAATAAACTTGAAATTAGGGTTTACATAAGAATTACAAAAGTTAGGGCCTCTACAATGCACCCTAAACTAGAGTTTACGGCACAACTCATCTTCTTTTAGCACGAGTCATCTCATGATTTATGTACACACACAATAATAACAGTAGTACAACATGCATTCCCTGGAAAGAAGAATACATTAATCAAGAAGAATATACAACCAATGTCATCACCGTAAATTTTCATTTAATTAACTAGCTCCATGATTCTAGAAGAAAATTAATGCGTAGTTTCATTCTCCTTCATTTTCAAAATTTCTAGCCCTCTTCTAAGATTTTGAAGTTTTATAGCTCTTACCTTCACATCTCTTTCACAATGTCCCTAGGTTCTTTGGATTTGGTTTCTCTCTTCATTCTTGGAAAGACTGAGTTTGATACACCCTGCTAGATTTTTGAGAGAGGTGCTGCATACTTTTGTTGCTTCTCCTGCAGTTGGTTCTCTTGAGCCTGGGTCAAGTTCGATATCGATTCTGGCTCTTCATACTGATTGTGGACTGTATATCTATATATTTCTCACCATTAAAGATTGGGATTGTTGGCTGTTGAGCACTTGAACTTGAGTTACTTGTGTTGGCCATGCAGAATATACTCGTCAAAGACAGCTTGTTCTTCACCTTTTTGCAACTCTTTTGCCTCCTACGAACCAGAGGCTTTGATACCAAATGTTGGCCCTTTGTTTAGGCTTATATGCATTGTAGTTTTAGCTTAGAAAATGAACAAAACAACAAGAATATATCATATTTTCAATTACAAAAACATATCATAATTTTTCTACAGCAAAACAAGGGAAAAGAAATCTGATTTTTCTCTCTACAATGTTCCAGAAAGTACACCAGCTATTTATACAAAAACGGACCAGCACTTGGTGCCTTGCTAGTGTACAAAATATTAGTCATAGAGATCTACAAGAGTTTACATAACTTGACCACAGTTAACTATGGTTCAAACATATGATGACGACTTGACAAACTAGTAAACTAAGTGTTGGAACTTCTACAGCACATCACTCGTAACTTTTGTAAACCAATTCTCAGTTAAATAATATCCCTTTCTGGGGATTTAGAAAGAACATCAAATCCCTCGTACTAATTGATTGTAACAACTTCAGGAGTTGAGTTAACTATGAATAACACATACCATTTTTTTTTTCTCTTTTTGAATTCCATTCAGTTTGTTTTTATTGTTGGTGGGTGGGGGCAGCTAAGCTAACTGCGAAATTGGAACAAGAAACATCCAACTTTTATTTATTTTTGTGTTCATCATCCAATTTTGCACATCTCTTATTTCTATTATGAATCCAAGATTGTATATATATATATATATTGCACTGTTACAGCTTGGATGAATGGATTAGAAGTTTGTTCAATTGAGGCAGACTTGACTCGAGCCTGCTTGATTTTATCTGTTGGAATTTCTACACGGTATGTTTATGCTACCTACAAGAAAACACCTGTGACAACAAACGAAGCTGAAGCTTGGGAAGCGGTAAAGAAGGCTTGTGGAGGCTTGCATTTCCTAGCGATCCAAGACGATTTGGATTCAGATGATTGTGTTGGTTTTTGGCTTCTGCTAGACTTGCCACCTCCACCTGTGTAATTAATGTAAGTAATAACAACACACCACCATGTTTGCCCCAATAGTTTTACTTCCCAATTTGTGTTGTTTGCAGCCTACTTAGTTGCGAGAATGTTTGTTAGCCTATCTCTATCTTTATAATTTTTTGTAATACTAAATTTTGGCTTACAATTATCATTTCAAAGGCTTGGGTTGGAGAGTGGAGAATGCCATTGGTAGATACCGTAGATGAACGTATGCCTAATTATTTAACCAATCTCAAAATAAACTTTGAAGGAAAATTTCCAGCTGGAGAAGTAGCTGGAAATTATGATGGATTGGGATCAGTAACTACTAACACCTAAGGAGTGTGGACACAGACACGGGACACGTGACACGGCACGGATACAACACGGATATGCCGATATGTTAATTTTTAAAAAATACAAGACATGATATGTGTTCAAGTCTTGGGACCACCACTTTGTGTATTATGCCAAAGGTTAGGTGTGGACTCAATCTTTACTCTCCCAAACACACATTAATGTGTACTAAGTGGGCGTTGTTTAAGTTTTTACAAGACATGATATGTGAGGTACACACATGAAATATATAATTTTATATATTTATTATATGCTATATATATAAATATATCATTCAAAGATAATAAAAAATGTAATATAACACTAATTTCGATAAATTTAAATGGTTTTTGTTTTATTATTGTACCTTATGTTATTTTGTTTAAAAAACATGACACGTTTTGAAGAGTGTTGGACACGTGTCCTAAGAGTGTTCACAGAGTGTCGGTGTCCGATATAGACACGACACGGATACGACACCTTCTTAGAAGTGTCCGTGCTTCTTAGACTAACACTATAGAGCTTGGTGAGAATGCATTTTAGTAACATATCACCCTTGTTTGGTAAAATTCTACTGCAGCATTTTTATCTTGAATTTAGAAAATATGCAATTATTTATGAATTTCACCAATTATGATTGCACTTGTTCTGTATAGACAATTAGGAAAGATAACCATGGTGTTTGAATTGTTAGATGTATCTGTTCTGAATTTTGGTTGCACTTGAATGAGTTTGTTCATTGTTCATAACTTGAAACTTGGTGAGAATGAGAACCTCTTATCGGAAGTTATCTCACAATTTGAATTTGATAGCCATAAGAATTTGCCAAGAAAAATTTTAGCTTAAGAATATGCGAATTGAAATTCTTGTGTTAGAAAAATCATCAACTCTCACTTTCTATTGATAATTGAATACAATATATATATATTTTTGTCGATTTTATTTAACAAAAAATAGGTAAATAGTTTATATTGAAAATAAATCAAAAGTTTAATGTTTAAATTGACAAAATTAAAAATTCATGATTTATTTTATTATAATAGTCAAATGCTATGCTAAAGTTTTTTTTTTCTCCCAAATAACTTTTATAACTATTGTTAGTATCGAAAAATATATAAAAATATTTTCACTTTTTATATTTATTACTAACTGTTCGTAGAGCATCTCCAATATTATGAGGCATTTTACCTATTTAAAAGTTGTTATAATATATGTATATATATATATTTTATTTTGTCTTTTGATTTTTATATGCTTACACTCTAATCTTACTTTTTATTTTACCTATTTAAACATTGTTATTTTTTATTTTATTTAAAATAATAAAGATGGAGGAAAAAAATTATAAGGATTATAAGCAATTTGGGTAATGTTATAGGTATGTATCATACGCAAGATATATCATTCATAAATTTGATTATCACATATAGCATATGTCAATATTATGAAAGTAATAACTAAAAAAAATTGAGGTATAAACAAATAATTATTTAATCATAACTAAAATAATATCATAACTAACATCATAATATGTTATGACCAACAAGACAATAGATTATGGGTTTGGCTCCTCGTAAGCTAGCCATTTTAACTTGAGTGTGTGTTTGGGTTTGGTAGATTTATATTGGAGTCAATTTCGGTGATCTAAATTGTTCACATTTTATAACTTGTTGAGAAGAATATTCATGCAAAAAATAAGATGATCGGATATCGATAGTTACATGTTTAAATCAAATTTGTGTTACAAAAAATGAGTGATTATTCTTAAAATTATATTTGTTATCTATTTTTTCTAAACAAATATAATTTAAAAATATAGCTACCGATATTCAATCATTTTATTTTTTGCATAAAAATTCTACTTAACAAGTTCTATAAAGTGAGCGATTTAGATTACCAAACACAAATGCTCTCTCAATTTGAGAAAAGTTAAACCCATATATTGTAACTAAAGGGCCAAAGACAAAAATTGTAGGCAAATGTGTCTATGGGCCTCGTTTGGGAAGGGGCTATTTTTTAAGTTTCTTGGCTGTTTGATTATTTTAATAGACTATTTTAATTTTTGTATTTAGAAAGATGGGTTGAAATTTTTGTTGTTCAAGTTTTTTTTGGCTTTTTTTCTATTTGAGGCCATAAAATTTCCCATTCAATGGAGGTGTTTGACAAGTTTGGATTTGATTTTTTTTTTAAAGCTAAAATTTACTAAAGAAAAAAAATTAAAATAATTAATAAGATAAAATGTCACATCAAACTCATAATTATTATTATTTTTGTCATAAACATCACATTCAATTATACAAAAATTTAACTCTCTTTTTAAATATAATTATTTTAAATTATTAAAACAATTAAAAAATAAAAAACCCTATTAAAATAATTAATTTCTCAAACGAAATCTGTCCATATGAAGGGACAACATGATTAGGGAACAAGATCCCATGAATCAAGGAACAACAATGATAGAGACTTATTTTTTAGAGACTCCACAACCCCAAAAGTGATCCATACCACTCATGATGTGGGGCCTCACACATATATGAGTAGACCCCATACATCATGAATGGTGTGGATCACTTTGAAAATTGTGAGAGTCTAAAAAAGAAAAGAAGTCTCACTCATTTTCCACCAAGGAAAAAGGAAAGCCTTTGGTAGGCCAGACCACGTGGGTTAATCATAGTATACTTCCTTTTAAAAACTTGTTAAACCCAAATTCCCTTCTCCCTCTCTTTCTTACCCAACTCCATTTCTCTCTCTACAGACCCCCAACTTCTTTCTCTCTCTTTCTTCTCTCACTGTCTACTCCAAGGGAAAATAGGTCTAAGGTCTCTCAATGTTATTTTAGTGGAGATTTATAAAAATATTTTTTGATAGAAAGAGAAATGGAGAGATCCACAATAATATTTTTTGAAAATAGGTCTACCCAACTTTTAGTAAGAGGAGAGATCTACAATAATATTTTTTGATGCCTAAGGTCCCTCAATGTTATTTTAGTTTCTAAAATACCTATTTTACCATTCTTTATAATATACGTGGTTTTCAATTTTGGAAACTGAAGATTACGTTGCTATTTTTGTAGGAGATTACTTTGGAATGAACTTGGCGATCGATGGAGATTTTGATGATGCAGATTTTCGTGGAGATTTTATAGGGATTTTGTAGCCGGGTAGAAGTTGATTTTCTTTGATTGTGTAGAAGTTGAAATCGTGTTGAAGCTCGGATTTCTAGTGGAGTTGAATCAGGTAAGTTTAATAATCAGTGTAAGCTTTTGATTTTTCATTTGAGATCAAAGTAAGGACTCTGATTTCAGATAAATTTTTGTAGTGTATTTTGAATTAGGTTTTTGTTTTCAGTTTTGATCAATGTGAGAGAAAAGCCAGCTTAGTGAATTATTTTTTGATCTTTGAAGTTGATTTTTCATTTTTTGTTATTGACAATAGAGTTGATTTTGATTTTTGGAGTTGATTTTTCGTTCTCTGTTACATGTTTATTAATGATAAGTTTTGTTCTTCGTGTTTGGAGACCGTATCTATTTTTCTGCACTTTCCTAAGTTTTGTGCTTTGTTTTTTTTGCACTTTTCATTTTTGTGCACTTTTCTTTGTATTCCAGAGAAAATTGTATGTTTGTTATTATAATCCAACGAAAATTACAGAGAAGATTATAATTTCATTAGAGATCTTCTCTATGATTTTTGTCAGTGATTGTATTTAATAGTTAGCATTAATTTTGTCTGTAATTTTCTCTGGACTCATTAATTTTCTCCGTGATGTTTCTTTGTGATTTTCTATGGACTCATTAAGTTCGTAAATTTATCTGGATTTTGATTTGAGTTCAATATTGCACAATTACACAGAGAAAATTGTAAGCTTGTAGTCTAGTGAAAATCACAGAGAAGTTTACAATTTCATAACTGATCTTCTGTGTGATTTTTGTCTATGATTGTGTTTAATAATTAGCATTAAATTTCTTTGTGATTTTCTCTGGATTCATTAATTTTTCTGTGATTTTATTTTTGTTAACTTGAAGGTAAATTTAAGTTTGTAAATTTCTTTGGACTTTTATTTGAATCTAAAAAAATTATAAGCTTGTTATTATAATACAGAGAAAATTATAATTATTAGAAATTTCTCTGGACTATTATGTTGTTCTTGTGAAGCGTTTTTATATTGAACAAGTTATTTTTCATGTTTTTTCTTTTAGTTTAGATGGACAGTGTAGTGTTGTTGCTGTGCAAATATGGGAATGATACTATTGTCATTAATATTTCATGCAAATTGAATTTTGAGGAATTGGTTGGCATTTTGCGTAAAACATGGGAGAATTTGAAACCTGAGACGATGCGTATTTCACATTCTATTGTGGGTCATCCGAATTGTATGGTTTGAAATAATATTAATTTTATGAATATGTTGAGGGTTGTTTATGCACGTGGTGTTAATATAGTTGATGTTTCAGTTATGAGGTGTAGTACTTTTGATCAAGAGGATGAAGTGGGGTCTAATTGGGTAGATGTTGTGCATGGTGAATGTGATAGGCTCATTGATATTGAAAGGAATTCACTCTCTAAGTTTTGTTCTCACCAAGAAAAGGTGTTACTGTTAGCTGGTTGGCGAAATAATATTACGAGTGTCGGACAAAAGTTTGAGGGTGGTGTGGCTGAGTTCTGTACTGTTTTATGCAAGCATGCTATTGACGTTTGTTTTCAGTTTATGTATGTTAAAAATAACAAGCTGAGGATTATGGCAGAATGTGCATATAAGGAATCAAGGGGATGTATGTAGCCTGTACATGCTTCAGTTGAAAAAATAAATGGGTTCTTTTACATAAGAACTTTGAACAATGAACATACGTGTGGTGTGGCGGTTCGT